AAACTGATCAACAGAACTGTCCAAATAGCTATATTTAAGGTATACCATCTTACGAGAATTCATGGAGTAGTGGTAATATTGTATTAAGCTCCCCATGATAAAAGAAAATGTTCGACCTAAATGGCAGTAATGATTTATAGAAATTTCTGAGAACAAAGTTGAACTTTATTTAGTTGAAATCGAATTAAGACCAATAATTTCTGGTCAAATATCGAAATCAATAGCAAATATTCCTTAATATTGTTTTTTGCTATCTTAGATATGAAATTAGTACTCGTGCCTCTTATGGATTTTTTCTTAATCATATTTTGTCTAACATTCGACCTCGAATATCTATACTAAAAATCTTATTTCAACACGAAAAGCAAATTGCCCTTCTATTTCGTTAGCAAATTTTTTATAGTTTTATTTTTCATTTTTTTTCTATTTTACAACGTCACAACAAGAAACCCTTCATAAAATCTTTTGCTATAATTTAAAACTTCCCTATAGTTTGGTTGATTGATCCAATCACTACTTTTTTCTATTACCGGTGAATACACTCTACTCGATCGTTAATATCTTTACTGGAGATGTATTGAGGGGATCTTTCTGATCGATCCGGATACTTTGAGTTTAGCACATCGGTGGACTTTTTATCGATTTCTCAGAAACTATGTGCGTGTTACAACTCTTAAGGCGGCAAGTGTGCGTTTGAATTCATGTCAAATACGATTGTTTTGTAAATGATATGTACATGTTTTTAACTTTGATTTCGTTTTCGATTATCGTATTGCTGTTTGTTTGCTTTCTACGTTCGTCAGTGGAACTATCTTATGTATGATCTTTTACTATTTTTCATGTATTCTTGCTCTTCTGATAACTCTGTATGATGTACTTTTTCTTTTTTCTATCTCTTTAGTGGGCAGTAATGGATCCTAGTATAAATAAAGCAGATAACACAAAAATTCCTTAATATTGAACAAAAACATGAATGTGCATGTAAGATCATTAAAAAATCGATTAGTAAAAACGAATGATTTTATATGACTCACAAATAATGCAGCTTAAACTCTGATCGATCACCTATTAATTGTTATCTAAATCATCGAAATAACTATCATATTACTATCACACTATCAAAGTGAATTATGAAGAATAATATCTGCCATACATTATCATTTTTTGATGATTCCCTTTTTATTTCAATTATGTATTAAGAAAAGAAAAATTTAACTTGACATTGAACGATTGGTTATCGTTCGAATCCAATCAATATAAGCTGCTGTTTTGGTAAATACCGTTGGAAAAGCTTGTCGACCACATCCAATAGCATAACTAACTACACCACCAGCATACCAACGGCCATTTTTAAAATACAGTAAACCACCGCCACTATCGCCTTGGCATGATCTTAAACAATAACTAATTTATGATAATAATTATGAAAATAACGATAGACTAACCCATGATCTTGATCAGCAGGTCCACTATGAGCAGTACAAATTTGTTTTTCAGGTTCATAGGCAAAATACATTGAACAATCGGAAATGACACGAAGTCGTGCTTGAAGAAGAACTGGACTTGAGCTAGTCCACACTTGATGAGCAGTATTACCCCAACCAGCAACATAAACAGTTGTATCAAGTGGTGGTTCACCAATCTATAACAACAAACAAACACATTACTTTACAGTAAAAAAAGGAAAATAATTTTACTAACACTATCAACAAGACAAATTGGTTGAATATTTTGTGAAAATGTAATTGGTGAAGCTAATCTTATAATTCCAATATCATCTGTTGAACGTGGTTCATCATAAGTTGGATGTATAATCAATTCAGCAACAGGTATAAGTTGTCCAGATGTAAGTCGATTATGTGCACCAACACGTACATAAAAATTTTGAAGATCATTTGAATAATCCAAACAATGTGCAGCTGTTAATATATGCCACTGATCAATAATTACTCCCCCACAATCATGTACACCCTTATATTCTAATGAAACAGCCCATGGTAATGAATGTGGTATTGCTTCAAAGCCGTTGACAATACGAAGAGGAGAATTTAAATGAGGTTGACGAAATGTTTGACCACATTGTTGTAATGTATCTTGTCGTTTAAGTGGACAACAAAAACGCACACTATAATCTGGACAATGTGATGTTGATGAACCCATACAAAAAACACCGTTATTATTAATTAATGTTTGATACCATGATGTATCATTATTTGATTTTCCAAGAACAGAATATTCAACGTTTAAAACTGTATCACATCGAGCTGCTTCTGGATGTGCCTTTCGAATTATTGAAATATCTTCAATATCGTTACCATTTGTTTTTTTTGGATTTTGTGTATTGAACCATGGAGTCCATGATGCTATTTCAGAATTACATTCATTATTTGTACTTGATGAAAGTTCCTGTCCAGCAAAAACTTTTGATGAAAAGAATAAAAAATAGGTTAGAGTAGGAATCAATATTAGCATGATAATGTCTATCTATTGTCAGATCAGATCGAATATAAACTGATACTAAAGGAACAATATTTGTTTTTATAGAAAATCTTATAAATCTTCTGTAATATTGATTGTTCTCGAAATCATGATGAAATTATTCGATTATTTTTATCTACATATCAACGAAATTTAATATCGTATATACTAATGAAAAATAAAATTACTAAGATTAAATGTAAAAACAATGAAAATAAGTGATTTTTTCTAGGTGTGTCACAATAAGCAAAGATTGAAAGGATTGCCTTTCCATGATTAAAACAAAAAATGATATTTTTTTTTCAATTATTTCTCATACTTTTAAAGCAAGGTTCAAAGTGCAAAAACTCTAATTATCTTTGTATCAATATGTTTTCTTATAGAAGATAAAAAACAAAAATAATTTTATCAATATCAATACTTCATACAAAAGACACTCAATTTTTAATATTTTTTTTTTTAATTTCAAATCTATTTTTCATTCAAGACTATCTCTCGTGAGAAAAAGAAAATAATTTTAAACAATGTCTCTATTATATTATGATATATTTGTTATTAACAGAAGCAACAAGAGTATTGCCATGAATTTACATGAAATGAAAATACTCAGAAATATATATTTGTTTGTTTTACAAAATGTCTTTCTAGGGATCATTTACAATTCATTATCAATCGAAAAGTCATGTTAGAATTACCAAATAGTTCTTTGGAAAATAAAAGTATTCAACCAAGTGAATAATATTTATATGTACGAAATTATTATTGACAACAAAATAAATCGAGATGAATGTTATTACTTTCAGTTATTTCTTTCATCTAGTCTCATTTATCTAATTTCACTTGATAATTTACTAGTTCAACAAACGGTTGATAAAGAACAAATGCTTCAAGTTTTTGTTAGAATAAATGTACGAATTAAATTTAAGATTTTTGAATAATGAAAAAAACCCGATTTATTTTGCTTACAAAGCTCGTTAAAGATATTTTATTGATACAAATAAGAATGTTTTTATGATTAAAAATCTAATCATTTGATGTGTTTTTGTTTTGGATTCAATTGCAGATTTAATATACATATTGTTGATAATTTAAATCAAATTTTAAACAGCTTTTTTTTTTCGTTTTGAATAAGATAATTATTATTGTATTAAATAAAATGTAGAGGCTATTGAGAAGAAGAATTATCCACCCACAGCTATGCCGCCCACATACCATCCAAAAGCAAAAGTATTATTAATAATTAATGTTTGTAGTATTTGTAATGGTCCTTATTTCTGTTGTCGTTGTTGCAAGAATACATTTACAGTGAAGATTATATTCTATTTTCTGTTGACTTCGATGTTTGTTATGATTGTTAAAGTGAAATCGAAGTGAGTTATAAATGATACGACAATTTTTACGAAAATAAAAATCAAAAGACCATATTCTAGATTATTTACTCCTGAGTTTTTTAATAAAGCGTATATTAAAACAGAATTATTTACTATTACAGCTAATAGACATTTTTGGAAGATTCTTATCTTGACGTCAAGATGAGAACTACTCTAATTTATGGACATTTCCATCTCTTAAATACTATTCATATATAGTTATTTAAATGAATCTCATTTATTTTTTTGTATCTTTGTCTTAAAAACAATATATAATCGTGATATTTCAATCTTCGTTACAGTTCTAAAGGATTTCAATATTCAAATGAAAGTTATTGATTTAATTGCATTTTTTCTTATTATAAATCTATTTATTTTATCTCTATTCTTATTTTTTTAAATCTATAAGAATATGACGTAATTATCACCACGAGATCACGATCAACAAAATACTTCTCGTTCATGACTCATATTTGAAATCGATTGTGCAATGACAATGCATAATTTTCCTATGTTAATTCACAACTTTGTTTGCTTTATTATCCACCGTGTGATATAAATAATATAAATATCAATGACGTCATTAAAGGTAAATTCGAAAAAAAAAGAAAAAATAATCGTTTTTTCTTTATTTTTCATATTGAAAAATCTTTTTGTAGAAAACTTATAATTTAATTATTAATATAACTTCCAGATGATCATAATAAATCAATCAGAAAACATAGTCAACGCAAAAAAAACTACACCTCTCAGTTAATTATATGAATCACAGCTATACAATACTACACCCATGACAGTAAGAAACAAGAAAAGAACAGAAAAGAAGAATCTGGATATATATATATATATAAGATATATAGAGTGCATTACGTTTTGTCTGCTGACTCATTATTAAAATAACGTTTGAAAAACTTAGACATCATAATGTAAGCAGTTTTTTATTCTTTTATTACGTAATCATTCTAATATGAATTTTAAATTATAAACAAAAGAGTTATTTGTATTCCTTCTATAAAATCAAGGTCACAACGAAATGTGAAATTATTAGTTAGAAGTAAAATGATTAAATAGAAACTTATGAATAATACTTTTTTTTTTTCATTCTATATCTTTATTCTAGATCACTCTTTTATCTTGTTTTCTTGTTCGTATATGGCTGCATGTGGTATTGAAGATTCAGTATTAACATCAAGATTTTATCAGACAACGAATACAATGAGAAAAACACAATCATCTTCAATTGAAAAAAACAATCAACAATGTTTATTTGATTTTCATATTAATTCTATTCAAATAGATTCAACAATGTCATTAAGAAATCCTGAATTAACAAAAAAAAGACCATTCAATCGAAGTAATACATATAATAGTAAGAACGACCTGATAAGAACAGTTATTGACAACAGCTGTTCGATGCAAGCTGTTTCAGAAAATAATAATGTTGAAAGTATGAAACGAATATTCATAACAGATTTTTTTTAATATAATGTCCTTGAATCCATCTATATGTTAGTTTTCAAAATATTCAATAATTTCTTTATTTTCTTTCCATATAGCTCAAACAACATTGATTCGACCGACAACGTTGGTTGAAAAAGATTCAACAACTAGTCGTCCTATTCCACTTCTTCGAACATGTTTCAGTCAGCCATCAACATCATCTAATCCTTTCTTTCCAATCGATGATAACGATTTTTCATCTACTAAATTTGCTTTCTTACCCGCACTTACATCTCCACCACCTAAACGTCTTCGACAACAAAATTTAACTTTGGCATCGAAAAATCTCTCCGATCCTAATATATCTAAAACTGTTTCTACATCATTTTCATCAACATCATCCATTAATTTTATTGATTCATTCGAATTAGCCGATAAATTAAAAGAAAATTTTCAAATAACTATTTTCGATTGTGGTTCACCATTTCGTTATAGTGAAAATCATATTTCTAATTCTAATTTACTTCGTGTTTCGGATAGAATTTCTCGTAAACGTTTAAAAACAAATTTAATAAAACATTCAATTATTGATATAAAAAAATTAAATGAATGTGATTTTATTATACTTTATGATGATAATACGGATAATTATCATGAATTATCAGCAGGATTAAAATGTGCATATGAAGAAATTCAACATTGTCTTACAACAATCGAACATCCTCAAATATTAGTTCTTAAAAATTCATTTGATCATTTTTTAAATCTTTATCCAAATTTATGTGAATCATTTCAATCAGCTTCTTCATCACAAATAAATGATTCATCATTACAATCAACATCTATTTTACCAAATTTAGATCTTGAAAATTATCCAATGACACATATTATCGATGGATTATTTATTGGTAGTGAATCAAATGCTAAAAATTTCGAAGAACTATCTACGGAAAAAATTCGACATATTATTAATGTAACATCTAATGTACCATCATATCATTTGGATAAATTTCATTATTATCATATGCCAGCTGATGATACACAAAGACAAAATTTATTAGATTATTTTGATCAAGCATATAAATTTATATATAATGCTATTAAAAATCATGAAAATATTCTTGTTCATTGTGTTGCTGGAATTAGTCGATCACCAGCTATAGTTATAAGTTTTTTAATGCGCTATGCACATATGAATATGGATGATGCTTATGAATTCGTTAAAAAAAAACGTTCAATCGTTTCACCAAATTTAAATTTTATGGGACAATTACTTCTTTATGAAAAAAAATTACAAGAACAAAAATAAGTATGTGAAAAATGTTATATTTTTCTTCTTTGTATAATATAAATATTGTGAATTTTTTTTTTGTCTTTTTTTTGTTGTTGTTAAATTATTGTTTCGATTTTTATTCATTTAAAATTCAACTTTAAATCAGTCAACTTTAAGAAGAAAAAAATAATTTATGATTTATTCAAGAAAATTAATCATAGGTTACAACGAATGAAGAATTTTCTACAATTACTTTGTTTCGTAACTATGATTAATCATCACACAATGACTGATGTTAAACAATGTGAAATTGCGTCAAATATTTAATTGCATAACGCAACTGACTCATCTTATATTAAATTTATTTGTATATTGATGACATCTTAGATTAACATGATGTACTGAGAAAATATATGTAGAATATTAAGTGATTGATATTTAAATATGAAAATTATTTTCAATAGAAAAGATCCATGAATAAAAATATAATAAAATATAAAGATTTAATAACGTATAAAAGTAAAATAGGCTGTCTGTAAATAATGAGGAAATAATATTTGTCGATGACAAAGAGATTTATTAGAATATGAATCATATTATAAGTAAAGATGTGCACAAAAAAAAAGAACTTGCATAATTTTCTTTTTATTTAAAAATCTTTTTCTTATAAGTTGAAGTACTCTGAATGCCGTTTTTTAAGTATAAACCTTCGATAATTATACCAAATGATAATTATAGAGAACTACGACTTTTCCTGTTTTTACCATATATAATTATATTAGTAATGATCTGAAGCAGCCGCCATTATTGAATGTCACACTTTTTTCGTAAAAGTAGAATATCTTTCTTGTAACAGAATGCAAAAAGAAAACTTCAGCCTTGCTGGGAAAAAATAAAAATTTTCCACGATCGGGAATAATATGTTTACACCCCAATTCCCAGTCAAATCATCGCTGACTCATATAGTTATGTTGTTCTTTAAAAAATCAATCATATATCGATATTATTGAAATGAAACTATACAGATCTAGTTGTATGATTCATCATAAAAGAGGTATTTCAATAAAGACTATCTATTACACTATTGACCAACTAAAACAAATCATTGTTAATGAAAATGTCTAAACAAACAATTGAAATATGTATCCTTCACAAATGAAATGCGACTATATTGTAAATAAAGATGTATTATTTGCTATACATTGAGATATAATTGTCATGAGTCTCATTATGTTTATATCCTTGAGAATTACCTATTGTTTGTTATATAATTATAAACATTGAAAAGAGTGACATCGTTTTAGATAAAGGATGTGAATCCTATAAGAATCTTTGATCAAGCATAAAACATAATGTTGAGAAAAGAAATTTTCAAAAAAACTGATAAACAACAATATTTTCTATGATAAAGAAGTTACAAATTTTGAAAATTTTTCTTTCAAGTACTTGTAAACTCTTTAAGAAAAAAAACATATTTGTTTTCTATTTCTTCTTAAGATGAATAAATGGAATATAAAATTATGGTGCCCTATAATATTCTTCATCGACTATGAGTTACAATATAAAACGAAGCGGAAAGAAGATGTATATTAGACATTATTTTTAGAACAAGATGTGCAATTTTCTTTTTTTACAAACATCTTGACATAAAAAACTTTTGATATATTAACAGTAGTCTTTCATTATAGAATTTATTCTTTTTATTTTATTTTACAATGGATAATAATTCATACATTGTCAACTTAATATATAATTTTCAGATATATGATTATTTACTAATAATAAATAAAATGAAAGCAACATGATTATTTATAATTCGAATTATAAAAGATGAATAGGGAAGAATTACTGAAATTTATTAGATTCATTTAAAACAATGAATTTATCATCTATTTGATAGGATATAATACATTTTAGTTATACCAAAAGAGAGCCATAGTTCAGAAGATTTCACTCTCACTCTCAACTGGTATGTTGCTCTGAGTATTGTTTTTGCTCTTGCCCTTAATAAGGTACTTGTCTTCAACCTAATCCCTTCCATCTAATGATAAAAAATATATAGCAGAATTTTATAGAAAAATCAAAAAAAAAAATCTTGAAAGCTCCTGACTAATCCTACATAAGATTTAATATTAACTTCTACCATCATCATCATCATCAATAATTGATATTCATAAACATTATTTAATACCGACGTCATCACAACATATATCCACTCAACAAAATAAGAGCAATCTAAACAGCTCATTAACATACTGAATTATTATTATTATTATTTTTTTTTTGTTTTAAGAATGATATTATCTATCACTAGATATAGATCATGATGAAGTTAACATTAAATAAAAAAAAAGAGAGATTGATCTTATTCTATCTTGTTGCTATTGATCTTTAACAATCAAATAATAATATATCAAAATGATAAAAATAATTATGTGACCTAGTTTGATAAGACAACATAAATCTTTTTATTTGTTATTTACATTATAATTTCAAGTAGATAATGGAAATTCGTTAAAATAAGTTTATAAGTAGTTACTTATCTTCAAGACAAGAGTATTGCAATAAGAAAATAGCTTTTAAAAAAAATGTCTTTTTCATCTATTGATCACATATTCTTTCTCTTTCCATCTAGAAAACATCAGAAAATTGAAATATCTCTTGATCATTTATTCTATCAAAATCTAAATACGTATTCTATTATTTTAAGTCAAACGTATGTTATATATTAAACAATTTTCTTCACTAATCTTTGATTGAAAATTAAAATACGAGTATATTCTAATTATTTTTCATAATATTTTTAAGGACATCTATTTTAGTACAATAATATATAGGTTAACAAGATATGCTCTTAACGTTGAATTGTCATTAAAATAATTGTTCTAGTCTCGAGAATATTTTTCATAAGGTTAATTTTTGTGTTAGAATAATTTATATGTATCTATCTTTTTTAATCAATAATTATGTTTATATAAAATAAAAAATAAAAATGAAGATCAAAATAATAGTCTTGAAAAATAAAGAGTTAGCTATTTGTGAATTTAAACTGATAATATTCATCAATCGTACTGTTTGTTTTTTCTTGTTTCCATCGTCAAACGAAAATATAGAGAAATTCGTTAAATTTTATCTGTTTTCATTACGTAAAACTAATACTTGACCAGCATGTGTGATATTAACAGCAACAGATTCTGGTAAATAAAATGGTTCGCCATCCATTTGTGCTGTCATAGGACAACATAATTCAATACGTAATTGACTACATTGTGCAATACGCATACCACGAAAACCAATATGTATTGTAGCCATATGTGTTGTACTTAAACCTACAACTTCAATTCTTTTATCACCAAAATCTTGTCGTTCAAAACGACCAGTTGAATTATTAATTATTGGTAATGATGATGATAATGATGATGATGATGATGAATTAACTTGATCATTTGGACAATCATTTAATGTAATTAATTCATAAACTTCATGTGCATTAGCTGGTAAATCATTTAATTCAACTGAACTTGTTGAAATTTGTTCAAATGAATCAGAATCTTTTTGTATAGTTATTGAAGATGATGATGATGCTGTATTAGTTGATGGTTTTCCCCATGGATTTGTTCCTGATGCATAACCTGGAATATTTAATACAAGTAAAGTATGACAATTTTTAATTGAATCTGTTAAATTTTCACCATCACATATTAAACGTATATATGAACTTAAATTCCATAATTTTGAACGTGCAAAATCATTTAAATATTTTCGACTTTCATTTAAATACATTAATTTATTTTTTAATGGTGATGAAAATTTCGTTGGATTACGTGATCGTCTATCATGAAATTCTAATGCTATAGCTGCATCTAAACCAAAACTCATATAATTTATAAAACGTGTATTTGGTAATGTACGATGATTTTGATATGATGGACGTTTTGTATCACGAATAAATTTTGGATGTGTTATAAAAGATAAAAATGTTCGTCCACTATTTGGATTTATATTTGAATTTATTACATCCAATTGTTCAATTGTTACTTGCCAACGATCAAGTGCTATAGGTTGTGCTTGAGGAATTTGTATTAATGTTGATAATAAATGTTTTGGATCATATTGATCACCCCATGATAATACACGAGATAAATCATTACCTGTACCTAATGGACATATAGATACAGGTGGATTATTTAATGGTGGATATGATTCAGCTAAACGACCTAATACCCAACCAACAGTTCCATCACCTCCAAATACACATATACGAATATTTGATAATGATGAATAAATATCTAATGCATTAATGATTGTTTGATCATTTTCAAGTAAAAATACTTGACGAGGATTTAATAGATGTAATAATTTACGATAGATTTTTTCACCACTTTGACCACCAGAACGTTTATTTATAAATAAAAGTAATGGTGTATAGATAGTATCATATTCATCATAATTCGAAGGATATTGTGCACGAAAATTTGATGAAGAATCAGAAATACGATGTATCCATTGTGGTCGAACAATTATATTTCTAAAATAAAATTAAAAAAGAAATGAAAAATTTTTTGTACCAATAATTTCTTTGTATGAAATTGTACCTAAATACTCCATAGTCACATTTATTTTTATCATCTTGATTGGATATTTGATCCCAACATTGTCTATGATAACTACGAGAACACCATAAACATTGAAGACCAGCTGTTATTCCAGACAATTTTGGACTGCCAGGCACTGGGCTTTTATTATTGTTTATACCTTTATTCATTATTTCTAATGTTGACATTGTTGATGGTCGTGTATTACCAAATAGAGAATTTGACATTGATTTTCGTTTACAAATAGTACAAGGCTTAGAAAGGATTGATATATTAGACCAAAAATGTCGATCATGCTTATTTTCTTTGTCATTTTCATTATCATCACAAAATGAAGGACGACATGATGGCATATAATTTGTTATATTTGTTTTTGTTGTTTGTAAATTTGACAGATGATGAGTATGTACAACAATTAAACAGGATTCACATTGAACAAGTGATAATAGAAGTGTTGGTTTACGATTTTGACAAGATAAAAAAGAACATGCTGGAGCTGAAGAAAGATCATTTGGATTATATGGAAACCAACAATGTGATATTGGATGTGCTTGATCACTCCAATCGACACCAATTATAAATGGAATGTTTGATTGTGATGATGCAGATTGTTGAATTCTAGAAACATAATATTTAAAGTATGAATGATTGATTTATTAAAAATTAAATCTAATTTGAATAAAAAAAAAAAAACGCCGGTTTGTGAATTAACAAGTGCATTCATACTTTGTTGTTTTATTTTGACAAATATTATTTTAAATTAGAAATTCAATATGATAAATTGATCTGTCAATTTATTCTTATCTATTCTTTTGATCACTGACAACTGTTAGTTAGTTAGTTTGTTCCTAGAGGTTGACAATCAATTTTCTTTCTATTTACTTCAAATGCATATACATCATCTCTATGTCCGAAATAAGACAAGTAAATAGTATGTCAGAAAAATATTTTTGTTAGATGCATTTATTTGCTTGTCGATGAATATGGTTATTATGATTATTATTATAATTTTCTTTTTTGTTTTTAAATTAAGTATATAGATAAAAATAAATAAATTCTTCTTTTTTTTTCCTCACCTGCTAGAATTTGATATTGATTCATTTATTATTTGTTCTGATGCATTAATTCTAAAATCTTTTGATGATATAAAATGAAAATCTTGTTCATTATCTTCATTATCCTCATTATTATTTAATGATCCTGACATTAATGGATGACATATATGATTAAATGTTGAAGATATCTGCTCAACTGGTGTCGTTGGTAATGAAATTGATTCAGTTCGACCTAATTTTTTATTATGTATTTCTATACTATGATTATTTGTATCAATATCTAATCGACGTAAATTACGTTCTAGTGTTCGATGTGATTGAGTATGAGGATGATGATCATAATTTCGAATTATTGATGTATCACAATCACGTGCTTGATTAATAGAATCAAAACTTGAATGAGCATTTATATTTCCACATGTTTGCATTGCTGTTGATGATGATATCGTTGTATCAATACATGGTGTATATTCAAGTCTATGTGGTGAACGAGATATAGATCGTGATGTCGATTCTGCCATTTTTGATTAGAAAAAGAGAGACTAAAATATGTGTGGAATACATCCGAACATTTTGTTTGATTATATTAGAACAAAAAAAAAACAAGACAGGAAAATGATGAAAAATTATCGGAAACTATGTTGTCATCTCATGCTTTTCTTTCTTCTCTTTCTTTGTAGTTGTACTACTAGTATTCTACTTGTCAACAATATGAACATCTTCAAATATGACAGTTTTCTTTTTTTCTTTGTCATTTGTTCTCTATTACAGCATGATGTCTGCTATGTCACTAACATAGTCGACATTCATGTCAACAATCGATGAAGATAGTGATGATGATGATGATGAAGATATGGAAAACTGTCACATCTGCTTCTGTCAAATGAGACAACAATAATGTTTTCTTCATTGTTTTCAATCCTATTTTCACCCCTACTGTGTATCTATTATATGTATATTAGGCACGCTAAGGGATAAATCAATGAATTCTGCTGTTGTTCTTGTTGCTTTTCTATATTGTTACAATGAATTCATCTATTCAATTTCTTAGATAGTGTAACTAAATGTATAAAGAGAAAAACAACAATTCATAGTGCTGTTCTGTATTTTTCTAGTAGTTGAGATCATATGTGACCTTATTGTTATTTGACTAGGAGATAACTTCTTCCTACCTGACTACCGGATTTGATAATTTAGTCGCATAAATATACACATAAATATTGTCGCGCTAATTGTGACAATATATTCCTACAGACGAGCATGAATAGAAGCCAGAAGTTTGTTATTTTTTTTTTTTTGACAGACAGCACACACAAAGCAAGAAAGAAAAATCTACGTTATCAGACGGAACTCGGGAGATTTTTCTTTCTTCCTTTTTTATTCGTTTCTTTTTTTTCTATGATGCTGCCGAGAGCAAGAATACGTACTGGGTATGTTTGTCTGCATGTAATGGAAGAAAAAGAAAAAGGTGTATGAGTGTTTATGGAAGCTGAAAGTAATAATATACTCAAGTTAAAAACTCATACTTTTTATACGTGTTATTTTTTTTTAAAATTTTCATGAAATATCACATAAAGTAAATGAAATGACGACAAGTTTTTTACAACTGACAAATACCAGTGCATTTCATTTTAGTAATCTTACTTTTGTTTTACGTATGAGACATAAATCAACAATAAGATAAGATGCAAAAACAACATATATATCATAGGTGCAAATGAATGGTAATTCATAAATTGAACCTTGTTTTATTATATTTTCTCTCTTTTATTACAATAATACAAAAAACAAAATATAGAAATTTATGAAGTTGCTGTTTGTTGAGCCATTTTTTTCAAAATCATAGCTTCAAAATCTTCAAAATCAGGCTTTGTTAAATCTACGATATCATGCTGCTTGTTTGTTGATAACGATGATGACGTTGATGTCGTTGTTGTATTTTTTTGTTTTTGAATTTTAACTGACGCAAATGGTCGTTCATCTAAACCTTTTTCATTTTCAATAAATTGTGATATATGATCGTCATAAAATTCAATTAATGCACGTTTAACATTAAGATTAACAATTGTTGAAATATTTCCATATTTACTAAATATTTGTCGAAGTTCATCATCTGTATATGGTTTTGTATTTGAATTATATTTAACAATAATATTTACATGATTCGATGAAATTTTTTGTTTATCTTCTTCAAACATATTATGAAGTTTTTCAAGTTCTTCATCAACAAGACGATTTCCTTCACGTCTTAAACGTTCAATTTCAGCACGTAATTTATTTGTATTAGATTTATTTATTATTGTTGTTGTTGTTTGTGATGCTTTTTGTTCATTACGTTCAAGATCTTGTTTAAATTTTTTTCGTTTATCATCCATTTGTGATAAACGTTCTTGTTGATGTTTTTTTTGTTTTCGACATGCATCATAAGCTTCTCGAGCTTGTTTATCTGTTAATAATTCTAAAGCTCGTTTTATAAGTAAGAAATGTTCTTTTTTTTCATTTTCATTTGGATATTTATCTGGATGACATTTTAAAGCTTTTCTTCGAAATGCTGTTGTTAATTCTTTTGTTGAACATGTTTCATTAAGACCAAATAATTCATAGAGATCCAATTGTGTTATATCGGCCATTGTTTTTTTTACTGTTAATCTAAAAGAAAAAATAAAATAAAATAATTGAGATGAAAATATATATATATATATATATATATTTATTTATTTTATGAAATGGAATGATGAAATTTATTTCACAATGCAAAAAAGAAAAAAAATTTTATTTCTTTCTTATCTTGTTATTCAATTCCAAAACCTTCACAATTTTCAATAGCCAAAAATAATTTTTCTTTAAGAATTTCACAAGTTGAATAAGGCGGTAAAAGTAATTGATTGAAACTAGAAAACAAGAAAAGATTGAATAAGAAATAGATTATATTGATAAAAAGATAAAATAATTACATACCATGTATGTGACATGGGTAACCTAGAAAGAAAACAAATCGAGATGCATATTTATGTAAATAGAAAATTCTTTTATTTGGTTTTTATCATTTGATAAGAAAATATTTCCATACAAGCTATGTTTTGCTTTCCAAAAAATTAAATTTTCGCATCTATATATATACATATATGGAAATTTCTCACACAGCGAAAGAATGCATTAAGGAAAATTAATGGAAACTCTCAAAATCTCATAGTATTTACTGAAACCTATCCTAAAACTATAGTAAATTAACGAGAAACTACGAAATTTCTTCGCAAGAAAAAACCTACTAAGAAATTTTTGAGTAAATTATGAAATTACGAGGTTATTTCCAGATAATTTCAACAATTACCGATCTCTTAACAGAAAATCTCTCGCTTTTTTTTTGAAAAACGAACTATATAAGCATTATCTAAAAACATCTACATACATGAAACAAATTTCAATCCAACATCGAACGATTCTGAGAAATTATTATCATTACTCGACATAGATAGCATTGTACTTATCTATGAAAAAGAAGATCTTACCCTACGAAAAATATTTAAGTCATTTTAGAAGTTACGTCATAACTTTATCTTTTTCTCTGAGTCATAGAGTACATTGACATACATATAGGAAAAAAAAATCTGTCGTAATTCCTAAGAAATCACTAGAATTATTAATATTTTCAAGAGTAGGTTCTTGTTATCCATTGAAAAATACATCGATATACACCAGAAATATATAGACAGTAAATTTAGCATCTACTGAAATTTGCTAGCAATTTCGTAGAAATTATTAAATCTATATTTTGCATGAAATTTTCTTGTGAAGCATTGTTTGTAGACATTTGTGAATATTATGCATTATTGCATATTTAAGTTTTGTGAAAATTCTTTCTTTTGCGTATTGGAATTTGCTTAGTGGTATATAAGGATTTTTGAAATTTACTTTTATTTTTGAGAATCTAAAGACTATAACTATTGAATATTGATATAACAAAACAAAAACATTTTAAATTTTTGTTAATTAAACTAAAACTCAAAAGGAAAATTTTTGATGTATTCATTATAAAAATTATTTTCAATAGAAACAAAAAAAAAGTAATATTCTTATGAAAATTAAAATAATATTTAACTTACAAATCATTAATGTTACATTTATTTGACGATATTTTTGCAATTTTAAATGTCATTTCACTTAAACCTCCAATTGGCATACGATCACTACCAGTAACAAATAATAATAGACGTCTTTGTTTATCTGATGACATTTCTTCAACAACTTGCCAAAACCATCTTAAATAAAATGATCATAAAATTTAGTTTTTTTTTTGAAGATAAAAAAAAGCAAAAATTTTGAAAATTTACTTGATAAAATCTTCATTTGGATCACAATTTTCATATTTAGTTATTTTAGCTAAACTACTTAAATTACATTGTTCCATTCCACATATTAACATTTCAAGTTCTTCTGGTACAAGTAAAAGTAATGCATTTGATGAACAAACACTATGAAAACCATAATAAAATGCTTCAAATTGTTTTGATATATGTTTATTTATATAAAAATCAATTAATAATTCAACATATTCATTTCGATTTTCATTTGTTACATTGATTTTTGATCCATTTTCTTTCAATGGACATATTATTGATGTATCATATTGAGCCACTGAAACCTTTGAAAAAAAATATGTGTTAATTGATTTATCTTTTCATTTGTGTACATTCATTTCTTATTTTCATCCTCAAACTACTAAGAATACACTATAGGAATATGAGAAATTATGCTTAATGAATTAAAAGTCAAGTCTGCTTCATATTTTTGTTTATTTGAAAAAAAAAGTAATAACTGAAGGACTTAGTTCGATCATAACACATATCTTCAATTGTTAATATATTATTCAACTGAATCGTATAAAACAAAAGATCGATTTCTTCTAGAAACACAAATTATGAAATACTTCCATTAGTATATTAAAAGCCTAGCTATTGTATTGCATTGCATAGAAGATCTTATCTTTTATTCAAAACTATTGATGCCAATTCTATAGAAGATCAAGACAATTTACTTGAATAATATTATAAAGATAATAAAAAAAAAAGAAAAGAAAACGTTGAGAAATTAAATTGCAACTGATTTTATCTCAAGATTAAAATTATATATATATATATTTTTTTTTTTTAATATTAAATAAAAATACTAGTAGTTTATTATTATTTCTCTTTTCCATATAGGTTAGTACTCAAAGGAATTAATGTTCTTGACAAAAGAAAAAAAAAACAAAGAAATCAGTTTCCTATTTGTTTCTTTTCTTATTTTTATCAATAAATCTCATTAGATCAGTTTAGTTTACTCTGAATACAATCTCTAGTGAATTTCATATGATACAAATTACTTTGTATCCAGGATTTGTTTTCTATTCCGCAAAATCGATTTAAAAATGTAAAGGGACTATTATATATAATTTACATTACAATAAAAATAATTTTCATACGAAACTAAATAAAAATATTATTGAACAAATTCTTTAAATAATCATATTAAATCTAATATTTACTTCAAAAGTAAGACCAAAATCTTCTTCAACATTTCCATCATAATCAAGTAAATATTGAAGACTATTAGCAATATCCTAAAGAATATAAAAATAAAAATTTTTATCATTTTAATTTTTCTTTTTCTTTTTTGAATTACAGGTCGAATTGTTCGAAAATCTGCTAATGTTGGTTTAATAATTCCAACTTTAGTTTTTGATAAATTTGTCATATGTTCTGTTATAAATGCAGGTGTTAATAATTTTTTATAACAAACCAATGGAAAACGTATATCAAGAATAATTGCATTATAAACTGCTAGACCCATTAATATACCAACTAAATTATATTCTCGAATATTATCAGTTGATGTACCATTAAACCAAAAAACACCGGATAATTCATAAAATACAAACATTCCTAAGAAACAAAAAAAAAAAAAAGACGAAATTTTTGATTGAAAATAATTTATCAAAACTAAATACCATAATCAGGTAAAAATATGTCTCGAAGTAATAGAAGAAACCATTCTTTTGTTAAACCACCCATATCAAGACCATGTTCACCAACAAATGTTACACGTAATTTTTTCTTTAAATCATCACGTTTTTTTGTAACCTGTTAAAAAAGTATATAAAAAAAAAAAAACAAAGCATCAAGATAATTATATACTTCAGTAAGAGAATCAAGAACTAAATGTGATCGTCGAATGTAAAGATTTAAAAAAAGCATATTTAAATTTGGTGTTTGTTTATTTTGAAATTTTTGTATCATACTACGCTGAAAAAACAACATTTATTAAATAAAGTTTTTCTTTTGATAATACAAAAAACTTACACGAGCATTAATAATCATTTGTTGTTCAGAATCACGTTTTAATATAGTACGTTTAGCATTAATACTTAATACAAATGGATATTGACAAAATGTAAAACTAAAAAAAAAAAAACAAAAAACCGAACAAAATTTTCTTTTGTTTTTCGTTAAAACAACAAATCACATTAATGAAGATAAAAAAAAACTAAACAATAAAAGCCACGAAACTTTTCTATGCATATATATGTCTAGATAACGACATCAATGAAAAAAAAAGGTATTTCTAACCCGCCAATTATTCCGCGTGATTTCCGTTGTTTCCATTCAACATAATCACGTTCTCCATCAATATAATTTAATGAATCTATTGCCATTTCGGCCAAAGGTATTATACGACCATTTAACCTTTCATTAGCATTATCTGTTTATATTAGAGACAAAAAAAAACAGTTGGCAAATATTTCTATATGCATTTACAACTGATTATCAAGCAAAAGAGAGCATAGAAAAAAAAAACTCAATAAATATATCTTTAACTACCCTGTTGATCTTTTTAACCAAAGATGATATTCAAATTCAATATCAATATCATCAAGTAAATCAATAATAAATTCATTATAATTCATCAAATTTCGATTTAATTGTTCATTAGCTACATCTTTATTTATACTATAATAATATATTCTCTTTCTTCTATTTTTTTTATTAAACTTACTAAATAATGCTAATGTTCGAATAGCACATGGAATCCACCAACCATTAACAAATGTTGATGTTGAATTATTTAAACGTGATGGAAAAAGATTTATAGCAACAAATGTTTGTAAACGATGAACAGTTGATCGAAACATATCAACTGGTAATCTATTAATAATAAAAACAAACAGACAATAAATTATAGTTTATTTTAATGATGATAGGAAAATAATTCTTACGTTTGTAAAAGTGAAACTATTTCTTGATGTTCATGATCAACAAAATGTGAAATACGACGTAATACATGAGCAAAAATATGATTATTTGATGAATCATCGAAAACAGGTGTCTAGAAAATCTTACAGTTACTTTAAATTAAGAAAAAGAATACCAGTGTTCAGGTTTCCAAAACAAAAAAAGTAAATTTCTCTCATGAAAAATCAAATTTTAGAAACTGCTCCCATAGACAAAACCATATCAACAAGAAACTTTGGTAATTTCTCTTGGAGCAATAGAAACTCTCTGTTGAAAAATACTCAAGTTCTCAAGACATTAGAAGTAAATTTTTAGAAAAATTTCAAAGCTCCTCATGTAACACTAAAAGTAACCTTCAGATGATTTCGATAATGAGGAATACGCGAAAATGAAAATATTATTAATTCTAGTAATTCTTCAGAAATTGCGGAGTTTATCAGAAAATCTTAGTAAATATTGAGATTACGAAATATGTATTCTATATGAATGTCAATGTACTTTATGATTGAGAAAAAGAAGTTACATTTTGAAGTTTAAGTAATTTTAAAAATTTCGTAGTAATTTCTTAGAATAGTTCGATGTTGAACGGGAATTCATTTCATGGGTGTCGGTGTTTTCTAATGATGTTAATATAATTTTTGTTTTTGATAGTTTCTGAAAAAGTTGAGAGATTTCTTGTTGAAAGAGTCGTAATTGTCGAAATCATCTGGTTAATTTACTATTGATTTAGAATAGATTTCTGTAAATACTATGAAATTTTGGAAGTTTTCATCAAATTTTCTCTATCTGTTTCTTTGATACATTGTTTCGCTGTGTGAAATTTTGCTTTTTTTCGAAATCTGAACATGTCTTAAAAATAAGAAGAATATATTACCAGTATAAGAATGGTATAACCTTTGAAAGTGTATTCAGATGAACTATAAACAAAAAGACGAAATGCAAGAAAAAAATAAATGCAGCGAAAAGTAGTTGAGCCAACACTTAACTACATATTTTTGAACAAAGTTCAACTTTTGTTAGATATTTCTCTCGGATGAATTTGCTAGGACAGAAATATTAGATCTTCAATTTTCTATGGGATATCTAAGAAGTAGTAATTTGCATCAGAATTGATGAGAGTAAGTAAAAAAACTTTTATTTTGGAAATGTCAATTCAATCCAAATGGATTCTTTAAGAACGAAAGTATTGAATCGTTTATAGACAGATAATTTCTTCAATACAAAAATGATCTTCTTCCCTGATCTCATGTTGTTATTGTTCTTGGTTCAAGCTTAACAGCATTTTTTTTTAATGTATAATATATATTGCTATTTTAATCAACAGAAAACTATGAGCTCGAATTAGTAATCCTTATTTTTACCTAAATTGTTGATTATGATTTGAAAAACAAAAACTGTAAATAGTTTAATTAATAAATTTAAGAAAAAAAAATATATTATTTTTGTTTTTTAAATTCTTACCGAACTTCTCGTATACAACATGATGCAATTGTTTTAAGTACTAATCGAGATATTGTATCAGTATTTTTTATAATATATTCATGAATTATTTCAAGATATTTCCAATTTATTTGTTTTGTATTATCATTCTAGACGAATAAATAAAATTTTTAAGAATAATTAATTTTGTCTTCTTTCTTACCAATGTTAATGATTCTATCATATAAACGAAATTTGAATAAAACATTGAGAAAAAAGCAAATATTTTATCATTATCAGGACTTTCGTCATTTATCAAACGTCTATTATTAATAAAGATAGTAATAACTATTTTAATTTAATAGAAACTTCTTACTGGAAACTTTCACAATCATAAATATCAATTGATGATATAGGTGCTGTTGTTGCTATTATTGGTAATGACAATGAAGTCAGGTTTTCTTTACTTGTCTGTAAAAAAAAAACAAAAGTGAATAGCATCAATTTTCATTTATACATTAACCCTTTAACAATGAACTTATTTTTAGAACAAATAAAGTAAAACTCTATTGTTCATATGGTATACTTTAAAAATTATTGGCGGTGATAATTTTTGCATTTAAAAATTCAACTTTGTTATCAGTGAGATCTATGTCAGAACACAACTAATATTGAAAACGTCTGTTTTATTATATTCCGGCTTCTTCTCGAAGGATTAATAAAAAAATTTTCAGTACTTTTTTTAATTTTAGACACAAGCTTCACTCTCACTCGCAAGGTAAAGTTTCTAAATTTGAGTCAAGACTATGTAGATTCTAATGAGCTATGAATAGCTTATTACCCTCGAGATACTGTATTTTTGACAGAACGCCGTGGTCCTCGTAGAAACATCAGGAAAACTTAGTTTCGACTTGAAACTTTGCATAAAAACAAGTCTTAATCAAAATAGTTTGCTACCAAAGTTTCAGATCTTTTAATTGGTTCTATTCTAAGATATGGTTATAGTAAAACCATCTTTTTCACGCTGCTCGTATATAACAGTAAATTCGGATGCTTCTTATTTATGAACAGGTGAAATCGAAAAATCTGAAACTTAGTTTACCTGCTGTTCCTGAGGAGTACGCTGGCATTCTGCTAAAAAATACAATATCTCGGCAGTAATAAGCTGTTAGCTCGAATTCTTTTCATGATATTCATAGCTTATTAGAACCTACATGATGCACATAGTCCTGACTCATAAGCGATTTAACACTTAGAAACGTTTCCTCTCCAGTGTATGAATTACATCAATAAACGTAGTAACTGTATTTAAAGTAAAAAAAGTACCAAATTCTCTATTACTATTCGAAATGTTAACTCAAATTGAAGTATCTTTTATTTGTATGATTAATTTTCTACTATCTAAATCATAGTGTGAAAAATAAAACATTTTGCTATCAAAATATTTAGTCATTGATAAATATTATTATTATTTCGTTTGTTAAAACTTACTTTTTCATTTGCTTGTTGTTTATTTTCAATTGATGGTAGTTTAACATTTGTAATGTTTTTATCTCGTCTATGATTTATTGTTGTTCCATTATTATTAATAATATTTTGTCGTCGTAAAATTATTCGATTAAATGTTCGACTAAAACGTGAACGAAGACTTAAACCATTATTAATATTATCATCTCTTGTTCGTCTCTAAATAAAAACAAAAAAAAAAAAATCGAAAAAAAAAATTTTAATAAAACTTAAAACAAAAAACAAAACCTACCTGAATATCTTGTTTTAATTGTTGAATATTTGGTAAATTTGGTCGAATAAGAAATTCTCCACAAAATGGACATAATATTCTTGTACGTCCATTACATTGTGGATCAGATTCAATATCAAGTTGACATCGTCGACAATGAGATGTAATTAATGGTATTTCAGAAAATGAATTTCGACGTAATGAATTTGCCATGATGAAGTTTATATTTAAAATAATGACAATTATTACTTTTCTTGCTTTCCTACCTACTTACTCACTCAATATAAGAATATTTCATTGGTTTTAAATTAACAACCAATCCTATAAAACTACATGGTTGTCAGTTGTTGTTATTTTTTTTCCATTTCTTTCTTCATTCCACGTGTCGATTAGAACTACAAATTTTTGTTTTGTTTTTTTGTCATAAAACTCAATGCCACAAATTATGTTAATGAAAGCCGAATATTTAGTTTTACTTAGTTTTTTATTAACAACTGTAGTTATAACAAATGCTTTTTATATAAAAAAGCAATTCTATCCATCAGTTGTATATTTAACAAAGTCAAGTACAAGTCTTGCGGTAGGAAGAAAAAAACAATAAATTAATTTCTAAAAAGTTAACTCATAATTTTCTTGTTTTTTTTTGTTGTCTTAGGTTCTTTATATTCAAGCATTTGTATTTGTTATTTTATTTGGTAAACTTATTCAACGAATATTTCTTGGACAACTTCGAGCTATTGAAACTGAAGTTTGTTGAGAACTAAAAATTTTTTTTATTTAAATTTTATTTTTTTAGCATCTTTATGATCGTGCATGGTTTTCTATAACAGAAACATGTTTAGCATTTACTGTATTTCGTGATGATTTCAGTCCACGTTTTGTAGCTTTGTTTGGAATTTTACTTTTTCTTAAATGTTTTCATTGGCTTATAGAAGATCGTGTTGATTATGTAAGTGAAATTAAGTTTTTGTGTTTTCTTTTTAATAGAAAAGAAAAATTCTTTAATTTAGATGGAACAAAGTCCTATTCTTGGACCAACATTTCATGCACGAGTTGTTGGTAAGATGAAGTATTTAATTTTCACTATTATAAATATTCTATGATATTTTTTGTTTTGTTTTACAGGACTTTTAAGTGTTTTATGTCTTTTTGATTATTTATTTATTTCATCAGCTTATATGCATACAATAGCAAAAGGAGCTTCAGTTCAAATTGTTTTTGGTTTTGAGGTATGAAGAATAGAATTCATGAAATTTTTGAATAGTATATAAGTGTGAAAATTTGTATGCAATTATAATCATTTATAAGCAATCTAGTTTTATTTCTAAAAGAACTAGTGATGTTAATTATTTTAGCACTTACATGTATTCACTAGCTGTTTTTTTTTATTAAAGGACCCCACTCATTAAGGGGCCAAATCTGCCACCCCACTAAGGTGCCATTTTTATATCTTGGTTTTGTAGCTTGGATCTAATCACACATTTAGAAATATTGGTTTTTCCCCACAGACTTTTACTTACATAGAGAAGTGAATATCTCTATCATCACATGGCAGGAGTCAATTGAGGTCCTTGAATTCCACTGTTCTCTTCTATGGAAGAAGGTTTTCAAATTCTGATTTCATAGTTAGAAGCAGTCTCATAGACCTTCTAATTCCCTATAATCACCTTTTTTTCAAACTCTTCAGAGATAGAATAAAAACTGAAATATGGTTACTAAGGCCATATAGTATATATATATATATATATATATAGATATGAAAACTTGAAGTGACATTATCTCAATAATAAAAACTAATACCTCGACGAAACTTTTACAAAAACTTGCTAATATACTCAGATTTATTTTGATACTATTGCGACTTTAAAATGTTTTGTCCAAAGTTCTACTTGACACTTGAATATTCTTAAATGTCACCATATTCAATAGAAATCCTACTTATATTTGGAGATTTTCATCATCAAAAACCATTTTTCCAAAACAATACACGTGATATTCGGAATCAACAACAAAATCTGAGTAGAATGACATGTGTTTTACCAAAAAATATTTCTCGTCAAAATGGCACCTGTACTCCCCTCAGCCGTTTTATTTGAAAAAACCTTGCCTGGGATACCCCGGGCGGTGATTTTGATGAAAAATATTTTTTGGTAAAACACATGTCATTCTACTCAGATTTTGTTGTTGATTCCGAATATCACATGTATTGCGTTGGGAAAACGGTTTTTGATGATGAAAATCTCCAAATATAAGTAGGATTTCTATTGAATATGGTGACATTTAAGAATATTCAAGTGTCAAGTAGAACTTTGGACAAAACATTTTAAAGTCACAATAGTATCAAAATAAATCTGAGTATATTAGCAAGTTTTTGTAAAA